GCATCAGTATGGATGGTGAAGAGATTGAGATAGTTAACAGTTTTGGTTTACTTGGCTCCACAAGCAACACTCTTTGTAACAGCAGCCAGGAAATCAGGAGACGGTTTGCATTGGGAAAGTCAGCTGTGAGGAACCCTTCAAGACGACTGAAGAGCAACAACGTCAGGCTGAAGACTAAGGTGCACTTGATCCGGGCTGTAGTCTTCGCAATTATGTGCTCTGCATCGGAGAGTTGGACAGTGAATAGGGTTGATAGAAAGAGAATTGATGCCTTTGAGCTTTGGTGCTGGAGAAGAGTGTTGAATATACCATGGACTGCTAGGAGAACAAACAGGTTTGTTCTGGAGAGGGTGAAGCCAGAGTGTTCCCTGGAGTCAAAGGATTCTGAAGCTTCGTCTGACATACTTTGGGCATGTTACAAGGAGGGACTGGTCCTTGGAGAGGGATATCATGTTTGGGAGAGTGGAGGGGCGGTGAAGGAGAGGAAGACCCTCGATGAGATGGATCGATTGTGTGACTGGAGCGTTGGAAATGAATGTGTTTGAGACAGTGAGGTTGGCACAGGATAGAACAGAGTTTAGAGCTCTTGTACATAGGGTTGCCATGAGTCGCAAACGACTTGATGGCATATAACAACAGTAGCAAGAACCCTGCTGTGCCCCAGGCTGTTTGTTTCACCAGGCTGAAGGGCTTGGGAAGAACCTCACACTGAGCCCCAAGTAGAAGCATGTGGAACGGTGGTGCCCTGTCGTTCTGGGGTCGGGTGTTCAGGCCCTTCCCTGTGTTGACCTGTCCTCCTAATCTAAAGCCAGCAAGCCTCTTCCTTCCTGATCTTGGTTCTTCCTCTCTGGGGCATGGCTTCAGTAAGAAGATCTGTGTGGACAGTGCTCCATCCTCAGAAAGAACTCGGTGTTTATGTGTTTGTTAGAGTACTCGCATCTTGTTGACTATTTCCTAGGTGTAAGGTTAGTGTCTTATGTAACACTCCTCTTGTATGTTTGGGAAAAGGTAGCTGCTCCATTTTTCATTTGGGAAGTTTATTTCCCTGTGTGCTTAATTCATCACCCTGTGTTGCTCCCTATTTTAGAAGGTGAGCTCTTGGAAAGCAAGGAATGCTGTTTCCTTGCTGTCATTCCCCAGCACTCACCGGTGTCATTGCAGTTTAGGTGTGCATGGTGTAGATCAAGCGCCTATGTCAGTAGCCTGGTTCATTACTGTGTTTACTGCAGTACTTCGTGCCTAGGCTGGCTGGCGTCCACCCTGCATTGTTGCAGACTGAGGGTCCCAAAGAATAGAATAATCTTTTAATTATTACTAAAGAGACAAACAGCCAGGAATGTGATAGAGCAGAGAGCATAAAACAGGGGGCCAGCAGTTCTCCACTGAAGACCCCAAGCCAAGCTTCTCTGTGTCTTTATTGAAAATTATCAGGAAGTAAATCACAAAGAGAATTCAATGCAAATGAAGCCAAGCTCTTTCTATTGAAAACCTTCCGCTTGACTCAGGAAGGAGGGATTCACAAATGCAAGAAGTTGGTTTACCCTTAACTATTAACCTTGATGCCTCAGGGTGAACTCCAGCTCAGGAAGTAACACTCCCTCTGTAGGGGGCCCCTTGCTGTCTCCTGTCTTGCAGGGAACAAAAAGCTCATTTTCTAGGATCTGCCACAAGAGAAATCCTAACTTAAATATCTGTAATTCCTTCAATTCCTGAACAAGGGTATTCATATAATATTTGGTATAAAGTTTGGCTTCCCATACTGCATGGCCATTTTCTTCTGCTCCTAGTGCAGGGTAATGCGAGACCTGAAAGGCGCGCGTGGTAACGTGAAGGGCCAGTCCCTGGGCTATGCCTTCGTAGAGTTCCAGGCCCACGAGCACGCCCTGGCAGCCCTGCGCCACATCAACAACAACCCGGACATCTTCGGGCCTCAGAAGGTGAGCCACTTCCTGTGGGAGAGGTGTTCCCCTGGGGCCAGCTTGTTGGGAACCACAGTTCTTCCTGACTGGTGTCCACTTGAGTGGTGGCAAGGGAGAGCAGAGGGGTGATGGAGGGAAGGGAGCCGGCGACTCTAGGTGATAAGGGAACACTTTAGGCTTGGACAGGGAGCCCTGGTGGCTCTGTGGTCAGTTTGAATCCTCTAGCTGCTCCTTGGGAGATGAGGCAGCCTCCTTCTGTAAATGTTTAGTGTTAGAAACCCTTTGGACACTTCTGTCCTCCTGGAGTGGTGTGAGTCAAAGTCAGCCCGGCGGCCGTGGGATTTCGGGTTAGACCGTGCAGACAGCTTGTGAACTGGCCTCTTCCTTCAGGGAGGCGAAGGGAGGGTGGCCACCGAAGGGCGGTTAGGGGCTAGCTCTGCTTCTTGTCTAACCAGTGGCATTCTGGGTCCTTCTGACAGCGACCGATAGTGGAGTTCTCCCTGGAAGATCGAAGGAAATTGAAAGTGAAGGAACAGAGGCTCCAGCGCAGCCTGGTACAGAACTCCACTGTTTTTGACTCTGTGAACGATTCCTCTCGCCCTCTGTTGTGTACAGCGTGTGGCTCTGCTGCTCTGTGCCTCTTCACATTCTGTGCTACAATTGTGCTCACGTCCTGAGACCTCTCCCAGCCCCCCTCCCTCGAGCCCATTTCTTGGTCACTCTACAGAGGCACAGGAAGGATCAAGAGGATCAGGTGTGGGGTCCCCCATGAGCAGGACTAGGATCAGATGGGGTCCTCCATCGGTGGGAAGATCAGACAGCATTATACCCATCAACAGGTCTCGTACACAGGGACAGTCCACAGCAACATGAATGGCTGAGGTTTTCCGCTGCCTGTTGATTGGAGCTGTCCAGTCTGTAATTCGTTCTTCATCTTGAGTGACTGTAGAAGTGACGCCCTCCCGTCTTAGTGCTGGTGTGATCTCGCGTGATGAAAGAGCAGAGGTGCCTGAGAACAGTAGTGCTGAGCTCGTGTTCACACTCTGACTCTGCCTTTCTCGCTGTGTCTTCCTCAGCGAGTTACTACCTCTCTGCATTGAAGTTCTCGGTGCATAAAATGGGATTAGCAACTTCTGCCTCACGTGGGCGATGTGAGGATTAAATGAGCTAGTATGTGTAAGGCCGGTGTGTTTCTAATCTTTTTTTTAATCCATTTTCCCCAGTGCACATAGGGTGAGATTGCCTTTGGGGCTAGATAGCACTTTCACTGAATATTATACCTTGACCTGTGTACCAAGCCTTTTTGGCATGTCCTCCAGCATGACTGGGGAGGGTTCAGGGGTTAGTACGGGGTTCTGGGTAGAGCCTGGATGTGGTCACTGTCCACAAGACTTTACTCCACTAAATGCTGAATTGTTTTCCGCCTTAAGCCTTTGCTCAGAGGTGCTTCTGAAGCTCCTGGCTTTTGAGTCTTGGGCTGTCCTTTCCCCCTTTTCTTACCTTGTGGGATGGGAGATTGTCTTCCATCCATAACATCTGTTGCTCTGGTGGGGCTCATGAAGTTTGTGGGTTTCCTTTCTTGTTGGGGGAGAAAATTCCCATTCTTTCACAAGCTCACATTAAGCCCCTTTTATGAGTGTTTCCATCGAAGAACTATCGTCCAGAGACCAGATGACTGTTTTTTGTTTTATGCAGCAAAAAATGAGATCCAAGCCTGCAGCCGGTGAGGCCCAGGGAGAGCAGCCCCGGCCTGGCAAAGCCCAGCAGCAGAAGGCGGCGAGAAGTGACCTGCAGAGAAAGGACCTTCAGCAGACAGTGGCGAGAAGCCATGCGCAGGGAACAGACCCTCAGCAGACGGCAGCGGGAAGCCACACGCAAGGCCAGAGCAAGGCCTCTAGGGAGCAGACAACGGAGAACGCAGTCCCGAACTCGTGGGCGGGGTTCCAGACCAAGGCAGAAATAGAGCAGGTGGAGCTGCCTGATGGAAAGAAGAGAAGGAAGGTCCTGGCGCTCCCCTCACACCGAGGCCCCAAGATCAGGTGAGTGGCGGCGGGCAGCGGTCAGTGGGATCGCTGAGCCAGTGTCCTTCGGTCAGCTCCTCTCCTCTGTGTGGTGCCTGGCGAGAGGAAAGGAGGTTGAGTGCTGTGCACGCCCATGCTGATAACTGGGATAATATAGGAAGTCTTCATTGTGCCTGTTCAGCTCCCACGACTGTCTTTGAGTTTTTATGTAAGTCAGAACAGGTAGGTAGAGTTGGGGTCTATTCATGTCATCAGCATAGAGGGATAATTTTACCTCCTCGTTGCCTATTTGGATACCTTTTATTCCCTTCTCTTGTCTTATTGCTATTGCTAAGACTTCCAAAACAATATTGAATAAAAGAGGTGATAGTGGGCATCCTTGCCTAGTTCCTGTTCTTAAAGGGAATGCCTTTAACCTCTCTCCATTAAGAACAATGCTGGCTCTTGGGTTTTCATAGATACTTTTTACTATGTTGAAGAAATTCCCCTCTAATCCTATTTTGTTGAGTGCTTTAATCATGAAAGGGTGTTGGATTTTATCAAAGGCTTTTTCTGCATCAATTGATAGGACCATATGGTTCTTGTTCTTTGCCTTGTTGATGTGATGAATTACATTGATTGTTTTCCTTATGTTGAACCATCCTTGCATACCTGTTATGAATCCCACTTGGTCATGGTGGATTATTTTTTTTATGTATCGTTGGATTCTATTTGCCAGTATTTTATTTAGGATTTTTGCATCAATATTCATGAGAGATATTGGCCTATAGTTTTCTATTTTGGTGGTGTCTTTTCCTGGCTTTGGTATCAAAGATATGTTTGCTTCATAGAATGAATCTGGGAGGGTTCCATCTTCTTCTATTTTCTGAAATAATTTATGTAGAATTGGTAACAGTTCTTCTTTAAATGTTTTATAAAATTCACTTGTAAAACCATCTGGTCCAGGGCTTTTCTTGGTTGAGTTGGGGTCTATTGTTTGTAAAGTGTTTGTACAGTGAACCTCTCTATGCCTAAAACCATTGACGAAACACTTTCAAGTGCACGAAAATACTTTAACATGATAATAATAATGATAGTAGTAATGATGTTTTGAAACACTTGGCAGAGGAGGGTCTATTTCTTGTTACAAACCATTGTATGTGCCTTGACTTCTGATAGAATAGCTTTATGGGGCTGGTTCATTACTGAGGCTTTTACACAAGTCAGATGCTGGGGAGCGGACTACCTCTCCGCAGACGTCCTCCTTCCAGCAGAACTGTCACTCTCAGATCAAGTGGTGGAGGGAGCGCAGCCGGACGCTCGGAGGACCTTTCCCGGGCAGCTTCCCACTGCCTTTCTCTTTTGAAGAGGAGTGTCCCATGACGTGGCCTGTCTGCTGGCGTTGCTCCCACGTGATGCCTCCCAAGTTTCTGCTTTCAGGCCTTGCATAAAAGTAGATCTTTTAAAAATATTTATTGAGGGAAAGCTTTTGAGACTCCCTTGAGGTTTTAGGCTAGAAAACAAGGATACAAGGTCGAGCCTGACGGTAGCCTATTGTAGTATCCCTATGTAGGACGCTTAGCTCCTTATAAGGAGCCCTGAGATGTAGCACAGAACACAGCAGTCTGCTAACTGAAAGGTTGGAGGTTCAAATTCACCTGCTGCTGTATGGGAAAAGGCGGTGCTCTCGTGTAAGGATTTACCACTCGAGAAGGCCGGTGGAGGGCTGCCGTCAGTGAGAATGGGCTGCGTGTGGTGGTTTGGTTTGTGGTAGGGCAGCTCCTTGTGGCCATGGCATGAACCCAACAGAAGGGCCGGGACAGCCTGAAGTCAGCACTTACTACCTACCTTGTTCCAGGTTGCGTGACAAAGGCAAAGCGAAGCTTCTCCCTCCCAAGAAGCCAAAGCCCCAAGTAAACCAGAGGAAGCAAGAGAAACAGAAATTGGCTTCTAAGCAGGTGAGTTCCGAGGACACAGACGGGCTTGGCGAGGCCCCCGCCCCCTCCTTGGGCAGTTGAACAGCACGAAGGCGCTCGTGGGTTGTAGCTGCGTGCGGCACTGCAGCGTTTTAGAGGATGCCATGTCACGGTTGTGAAAGTGGAGAGAATAGTGGGAGAGCCTGCATTGTATCTGTTACTGTGCTCCCTGGTACACGAGCCTGTCAGCAGAAACCCCACTTTGTAAACACCCCAGAGTTTTGCTCTTAACTCCTCAGGCGTTGAAAATAGCCATTATGTCATTATCATAGCAACAGAACGTAATAATTAGAATTCCTTGTTATCTTCGGGTGCATGGGCACGTTCTGTTTTTCTCAACGCCTCGAGAAATTGTCTTTAGTTGGTTAGGACAAGTGAGAATCCTGAGCCTGCATCTTAAACTTGCCTGTTCTCTCTTACGTCTTCTTATATTCCGAACTATTCACCCTACCTTCCTCCCCACAGCCCATCTCCCTACTCTGATTCATTGGGGGAACCTTGTTATCTGGCCTCTAGCACAGTCCACTGTCAGTGGGCTGCCTGCTTCCTGTGGTATCACGGGACTTTTTTCTGTAACACCCCACCCTTCCCAGTCAGAGTGCAGGGATTTATTAGACTCAGGTTTCATTTGCTTGACAAGAGCATTGCCTAGGTGGTGCTAGGTGTCCCCTGTTCGTCTCCTTTTCTGTCACATCAGACATGTGATGTCTGGTTGGCCTTGGAGGGAGTGAGCTGAGATTAACCCGAGGTTTGGGGGTTGTCTGCTGTGTCCCTCCGGTTGTAATTTCCACATCAACCTTTCACCTCATGGTCTTAGCCACTAGTGATGGTTGTTGCCTACATCCCTTATTGCATTACAGGCTGCAGAAGAGTAATTTTCTAATTTTCCCATTCCTTTTGGATTCTTTAGTAGAATTCTGGGAAGCAGAATTCTCTTGTCCGCTCTTTGGTGGCCGAGACAGGCCACTGCATTGGAGAGGCAGCATGAATGCTTGATCCTTCCCCTCTTTAGCTTTCAGAGGAGTGAGCTGATGACCTTCGGTGATAATCGGGGTGGGGGGTTAGCACTGTGAATTCCTGAGTTGTTATGAACTTGACTGTGTCAGTGCTGTCTTGTTACTGCCCTATTCTAGACTCTGGTGGCTCATTTTGCATAGTTCTTCCTGGGCCTGGCTTCAGCTGTGTTTCTCAGGGGCCTCTGACCTCTCAGCTTCAGTGGAGGTCCTTGATCAAGGTGTCTTTTCCCTTCCCTCCACCTCGTCTGTGAAAGGTCAGGGAGGCTCGTGGGCTCTTTGCTCTGACCTCTCCCATCCTGTCCTCCAGAGCGCTATCCTTACAGTTTCCCAGAGCAGAAAGGCGAACAGGAATGTTCAGACTCCAGGCTGACCCTTCTGCTGATGAGGCTAATGTGAGCCTTGGGGAGGGGCCAGGGGAGCCCCTGGAGCTCCTCAGCAGTGTCTCAGTGGGGGCTTCTCCTGCTCTGACCTCCCCCTGCTGGATGAGGCCTCTGGAGGAGATGGCCTCTGGAGTTTTTCTCTTGAGCCCCCCTCTGGAGGTTCCGTTTGCCTGCGGTGTGAGGCCTCTCTGTCTTCTCAGAGTCAGGTGCTAGCTAGTGCCCGAGGTTCACGCTGATTCCTTTCACTTGCAGGTGCCCAAGAAGGCGGCGAAGGGAAATAAGACCGAAATCCGCTTCAACCAGCTCGTCGAACAGTATAAGCAGAAACTGTTGGGACCGTCCACAGGAGCTCCTCTCGCGAAGAGGAGCAAATGGTTTGATAGTTGACTCTCAGCTCAGTGTGTGCTTCCTGGTAACGCGCCCAGCCAGTCCCCATCTCACCTCTGACTGTGGGAAGCAGTCTCCTGCAAGTGCACGGCCACTGTGTCAGAGTCTCCCAGCGCTGTGTACACCGAACTGCGGTTAACCACAGAGGTGCCAGATATGCTTAGAGGCTCCTCCAGCCTGTGGTCAACCATCGAGGTGCCAGACAAAGCCAGGATGCTTCTTGTTCACGATCCAGTTGATGGCCTGGAGTTGTGTGTATAGACCTATTTCATCCTCTGCTCCTCCCATGGAAACAGTTGTTAAAAAACATCCCTGGGGGTGGACTTTCTAAGAAGTATGTTTTGATAAGCTACTTCTCTAAAAGGAAATATTTTGTGGCTTTTAAAATAACACACCCTTTCTTATTCTTAGTATCTGTGAATCCTTTGTTACTCAGGAATGTTTTTTACATCCTTAATTCTTATTCTAATTGTATAGCTCTGTGTACCACAGGAGTTGACTGAAAACCCAAAAAAATGATTTTCTGTCTAATCTCAGTGTGGGAGACACGAGGGAGTGAGGTAAAGGAGGGTTGGGGAAGTGGAGCCTGACAGAGAGCAGCACCGATCGTTCTTTGCCCAGCAAGTGGGTAATTGTTAGTAGATAACCTCTCTCTTTCTCACTCTGACTTCTGTCAAGTTGGAACTGACTCATGGCTGACCCTCCATTAGCTTTCTGAGGCCATAAATCACGTGGAAGGAGATTGGTTGTCTTTTCCCCGACGAGCTTCTGGTGGATTTGAACCAGCAGAGACTGGCGAGTTAAGCCTTTGGGCTGGCAGTGCAGCTCCCTACAGTCTCCGCCACCAGGGCTGCCTAGTGGAGAACTAGAGCTTTCTGTCCATCAGGCCACGGACTAGCCTGGCTGGGTGGCTGCGCCTTCTCTCAGTGAACACTCCTTGTGAGGAGGACAGGTGGCGGCTGAGGTGGAACAAATGGAGAGCATCAGGCCTGGGCTCCACCTGACCTGCCGCTGCCTGACGGGCAGCCTTGAGCCAGCCCTGGTTGCTCTGGGCCCTGGTTTTCCTCGGGCCTCAACTGAATTCAAAGGTCTCCTGAGAGTTTGCAAACACCTCAGACATACTGAGTCAGAATCTCCATTTTTACAAGATTTGTTATGTATGTTATGACTAGTATTACCTAACCATGTTTATATATTTATAAATATTTATAAAGAAAGAGAGATAGGAAGGGAGAGAGAGATCGTGAAGGGAGAGCAAGCTGGAGTGTGCGCCTGGTGGCACGGTGGAGTACCTGGTGTACTGTTAATCAGAAGGTTCCAGTCCACCAGGGTCCTTCTCCTCCCATGAAGATTTTCCTCCCATGAAGGTTTACAGTGCGGGAAGCCCAGGTCCACCAGGGTCAGTGTCCTCCCATGAAGGTTTACAGTGCGGGAAGCCCAGGTCCACCA